AGCGTCAGGTAAGGTTGCCCCAGGCCAAAGAGCTGATGTTTAAGCCCCTGGTGAGCGAGCCGTCGCAGGGGTTGCCCGCGCAGCGTTAACAGATTCCGTAGGCACCAGAGGTTTGATGCCTGAATTTGTGGGGGTGACAAACAGCGAATCCGCGCCACGGTTCGACTCTTGTGTCACAATCTGGGAACTGATCGAATGATTCTTCACTTTCTCAAAATTTTTGCTCCAGAGGTGTGTCCAGAACATGCTTTTACCATGAGTCTGATCCTATCTTAAAACCTGCCCTTTTAAAGACTCTTCTGAACGGTTTTTCTACACAGCATCTGACTCTGGGTGTGTTTTGCCTCAGTCCTTGTCCAGTTTCTTTATGCTTTGTCCAGTATTTTCCACGATTCACCATGGAGCATCCATACTGCTTTTAGTAGCCTGTTTCTTACTGTCTTATTCCTTGGTAAAAATCACAATCTTTAAATTTCGTTTTGGAGGAGATCATTGTATCTCTTCAAAAAACAACAAAAAAAAAAGAAAAGGCAAAACCAAATGAGGGCTGGTGCGTAACGGATCTTTTTGGTCTGGTTCACCGGAATTTTGGTTTTAGATAAATGGATCCCAAAGCACTGTTTTTAAAAAGGGACTTTTTTCATTTTCCTAATTTCTTTCCTCTTGGACTTTAAGTGTCTAACTTCAGTTTTAACATCTTTTCCAGTGTTTGGGGAGGATATTTTTAGACGACTCAAAGAGTAGAAAATTTTGGTGGTTTTTTTTTTTAAACATTTGCTCTGCAATATATCCATGCTGTTCAGGTTGCCGTGCTGCATTACACCGAGGGTGGGTAGTGCTTGGGGCTGTTGGAATTTGGGGCTGCAGAGGAGAAATCTAGTGCTTCTGGCTTTTGATAATTTGTAAAAACTTGCCTCTGGACAGCTTGAAATGTTAAACTAAAGCTGGCTGAAAAAACTGCTTTGAGGGGATTTTATGAAGACACTGACTTAAATGCAGGCGTTTGTACTGTGACAAATTTAATTCTGAAGCTAACGGCTCAGTGCTTAGTAGATATTATGTCAAAAAAAGAATGAGATGAAGTTGGGTGTGAAAGAATAAAGGGCAGATTCTCTGGGTGGCAGCGTCCTTCGTGTCAGGAGTGCCGGTGCCTCAGCTCCAGTCACAGCACAGACAGTGTTTAATCACAGGGTGGTCAAGGCTGGAAGGGAGCTCTGGAGATCCCCCAGTGCCACCCTCTGCCAGAGCAGGGTCACCCAGGGCAGCCCCACAGGAACGCGTCCAGGCGGGTTGGAAAGTCTCCAGAGCAGGAGACTCCACACCCTCTCTGGGCAGATGTTCAAGTCCCTTCATCATCCTCGAAGCTCTCCGAGTCCAACGGAGAGCTTCGAGGATGATGAAGGGACTTGAACATCTGCCCAGAGAGGGTGTGGAGTCTCCTGTTCTGGAGACTTTCCAACCCGCCTGGACGCGTTCCTGTGGGGCTGCCCTGGGTGACCCTGCTCTGGCAGGGGGTGGCACTGGGGGATCTCTAAGTCTGGCCCCATCCTCCTGACCCCTCTTTAGATATTTATAAACATTGATGAGCTCCCCCCTCAGCCTCCTCTTCTCCAGGCTGACCAGCCCCAGCTCCCGCAGCCCTTCCTCAGGTGGGAGATGCTCCAGCCCCCTCATCCTCTCAGTGTCCCTGCGCTGGGCTCTCTCCAGCAGCTCCTTGTCCTTCTTGAACTGGGGAGCCAGAGCTGGACCCAGCGCTCCAGAGGTGGCCTCAGCAGGGCAGAGCAGAGGGCGAGGATGACCTCTCTGGACCCTCTGGCCACTCTCTTCTTGATGCTCCCCAGGATGCCATTGGCCTTCTTGGCCACGAGGGCACGTCGCTGGCTCATGGTCAGCCTGTTGCCCACCAGGAGTCCCCGGTCCTTCTCCCAGAGCTGCTCCCCAGCAGCTCAGCCCCCAACCTGTGCTGATCCATGGGGTTATTCCCCAGATGCGGCCCTCTGCACTTGCCCCTGTTGAATTTCATGAGGTTTCTCCCCTCAGCTCTCCAGCCCATCCAGGACTTTCCCTGGAATACCCAGCTGGTCTCAGAAGGGTGACACCAAAGGTTTCTGTGTCCTGCTCCATAGCAAAACCCCCTCACTGTGATTCCCGAGTACGTTCCGTTGGAACACGGTGCTTGGGGTGGATCCAGCAGCTCTGGTCTCTGCCAGCTGCGGAGCGTCAGGTAGTTTTGAAACGGCAAGAACGCATCTCTTGGCTCAGGTACGTTAGGAGCAGCCGGCTGCCTGATGCTGTGCTCAAGGGTACAAACCAGGGGACATGAGGCTGTAGTAGGAAAAGCTCTTTGGTGCCCTGAGGAGCGTCCTAAAAACCAGTACAAGTGGAGGGCACTGGTGTACGTTGGGGAGTAAGTGCTGCTATGAAAGCTCCGTCTTCTCTTGACATACCCACCCCAGGCAGGTGTTTACATCCTGTGGTTTTTGGCTGATGCTGTGATCTGTGTTTCCGTGGCAGATGCAGCGTGTGTTGCCGCCTTGGATGTCCTGCCAGTTTCTGCAGAAAAGGCCGACTCCGTCCTTGCGGGAGACGCCAAGCCTGCGCAAGCTCTGGATGCTCCGTTTGCACCTGCAGCAGAAACCAGCCCTTTCCAGGCTGTGGATGTTGGGTTTGCTCCTCCACCAGAAGCCAAGGCTCCTCCACTAGAAGCCAAGGCTCCTCCACCAGAAGCCAAGGCTCCTCCA